AAAATAAAAAACTTGAAAGAAAAAAAAATAATACAATATATATCCATAATTTTTGAGAATTGCTTTGAAACTCTGGCCCTCATGGATAAGGGAACAGAAGAACTGTGAAATTAAATCAAATTATTAAGCATAAAAGTGAAAAGAGATTGTCAAAGATCAAAAAACTGAAGAAAGCAAACTACAGTATGTGGTGATATAGTGGAACTATATGCTTTCATTTGTTCTGACTGCATTTTTGTTTTCTGAATCTTCTGTTCTGTATCATATGGGTGTGATAGTTTTGATAATTGTTCAATTTTTGTTATATGACAATGAGGTACTGCATTGTCTAGTACTTGAAAAAATGATGAAAAGGATAATGATGATTTGGGTTAAGTAGGATTGAGCGGTTTCTAAGAGGCTTCCATAGACAAAGCTTTCTTTCTCACTTCCATTCTAATGGTGTGAGAGTTTCCTGAGTTTCTATTCTGTAAAGTTTAGTATCTTGCTGGTGTGATATATTTTCATCTGGCCTCTAAGATCATTAGTTTACTTTACTTACAAAGATGCCTGAATAAGGTTAAATGATTTTTTGTTTTAGAAAAAGAAAATATATCTCATTATTTTAAATTAATATGAATCTAAAGTATTACTCTGTCGATTTCTTGAGCCTAATAGTAGATGAGTAGTGAATGATTTTGTGCACTTTAATTGTGTTGCTATATATTATCAGCTTTCTCTTCTGTTATAAAGGGTATCATTCAAGATGCGAAAGTCATCTTTATGCCTAATGGATATATAACTCAGTGTCCTAATCTGAATCGCAGTAAGTAGCAGTTTATATTTGGCATATTAAGTTGCATTTATATTGCTTAAAGTACTGTGTTTTGCAAACCTTGTTCCTTGTTATTAAAGCATGCGATAATCCCAGGTTGTGCATGAGGAATTATGCATTTTTTTTAGTTCAAGTCAAGAAAGTACATGTGATGAAGGTTGCATATATTATATTGTGATTCCCCAAAAATAAGATAGGGTCTTATTTTCTTTTGACCCCTGAAATAAGCACTTGGGCTTATTTTCGGGGAGGTCTTATTATTTTTGAGGTGCAGGAGGTGGCGAGTGTGGTCGCCTCATGGCTGCTGCTGTGTTGGAATATTTTCAGGGAGGCCTTATTTTTNAGGGAGCTGAGCATGCCTGGCTGTGGAATTCTGGTGGTTGAATTCCACAAGTCTAAAAAAATTGCTGCCTCATCAGCCATAAAACTCACCGCACATCACTGCCTATGGATATGGCAAACTACTTATATAGTAGGCTATGGACTTATTTGGTATCTAGGGAAACTATTCAAGCAGAATCCTTAGTATTTTCAATTGAAAGAGCTCAAGAATCAGATTTGGATATAAGACTATGCAGAACACTCTGGATTAAAGGGGATGTTAGAAATGAGAGCTGAGTAGGGAAAGATATCAGGGTGGGTTCCAGCAGGAAGTACTGCTGTGCATGTGTGCACATGTATGCACCATGTGTGCGCATGCACAGTGCAATAAAAATTGTTCTGCACATGCACAGAAGCAAAAAACAAGATGGCCGCCCCTATGGGGCTGTCCCAAGAACCGGTTTGGGGGTATGGGAGGCCTGGATTACTGCTAGTTCCAGCGACCCAGGCTGCGAAACCACTACCGGTTTGGCTGAACCAGTGCGAACCAGTAAGAACCCACCACTGAAAGAGATTCAATTTGTCATCAAATGTGAGATGCCTTCTGTGACAAACTATGATTTTTCAAAATATATTTTCATATCCATTGAATATCTGGAAGCTCTTGCTTTTTATGGCTTTCTTAATAAATAAACAAGTAACATTTAAAGAAATTGATTGAATAATTATGTTTTGCTTGTGTTATATAGTGATGATCACCTTATATGAGACATTTATATGTGTTGTTCTGTTCCAGCCTCAATCATAATTAGTGCTTGGTTTGTATTATTTCGATTGTAAATTTACCTCTTAGCTAGTTGCTATTGCCTGCCTCCTTCTCGTAGAATTTCTTACTTCAGCGGTTTGCATGAGTTCCAGAAATTAAATCAAGTAACTTTCTTTTATAGCTAAATTATGCAGAAATGAGACTTAGCCAGTTGGAAAACTGTCACTGTGAGAAGACTTGCCAAGTAAATGGAGTCATCTACCGAGACAAAGACTCATGGGTAGAAGATGATCACTGCAGAAATTGCACATGTAAAGTAAGACACTTCTAACTTATCTATAAGGATAAAACAATTTAGTGATTTAGTGATTTAGTGATTTATTGACATTTGTAGGCCGCCCTTTTCCCTGAGGGGANTTGGGCTTATTATCCGGGGAGCTCTTATTTTTGGGGAAACAGGGTATGAAGTGATATAGTTCTTTAGGGCCCAGAGCAAAAAATCATCAATTTTGTTCACTGGGAGGATAATTCTTGCTTCAGGAGATAGAGCGTTGTTTTTTCTGGAATATAGATAACAAGGGACTATAGGAGAATATAACTCCTAGACTTAATGCTCCTATATGATAATGTGCATTTTATATTAAAAAAAGGATATTTATTTTCTAAATTGAATTTATCATAAAGCTGAATTAGACCTTCCTAACAACTGTTTTCCTTATTTTTCCACATATTGCCACACTTTTTAAAATGCATTTAGGCAGGAGAGTCATTCTTAAGAAGCAAAAGAACTATGCTATTCTAACATGGTGATTGTATTATGTGTTGTTTGCTCATAGTTTAATGCTAAAGGTTTCCTCTGTCTGGTCATATCCAACTCTAGGGGGCAACGCTCATATCCGTTTTTTAGCTGAAGATGCCAGTGTTCTCTGAGAATGCTTCCATGGTCATGTTGTCAGTGTGACTATAGACAAAGGCACATGGAACGTTGGTACCTTCCTACCAAAGTGGTACCTATTTATCCACTTGCATTTGCATGCTTTTTAAGTGACAGATGGACAGGGGGCAAATGATGGGAATTCACCTGCTGTGTAGCACTCAGGTCTTGAACCCAGGCCATCAGCTAACAAGCTCAGCGTCTAACCACTTAGCCATCACACCCCCATTGTTTACTAACATACAACCAAAGTAATTGGAAATCTTGGAGAGGAATTTAAATAAGTGATGGGTTTCCATGCAGTGAATATGTTCAACTAGAGGCTGGTAGTTATTTATTAGGGAGTGTTTTAATTTGGATTTCTGCACTGAGCACATAATTAGTCTTGCTATTCTAAATGAGGCTTTCCAATTTTGTAATTCTATGTTTCTAAGATAACAAATATTTTGAGTGTTTTTGTATGATATTGCCAAATTTTTATAAAGGAAAACCATTTAATATTAAAACTTCATTTAAAAGTTTTGGAATTTTAAAATCCATCCATTAGTAACCAGTTATTGTTAAGTTTTTATAAAATGTTAATAATAGTTGATTGCCTTGCCATTAATTTTGCCTAGGGCTGATTTGTGCCTTTGGTTGTTACTCTTTTTAACAAAAAATATCTCCCTCCCTCCCTCTTTCTCTTCTTTATCTATTATGAAAAAGTATTCTTTGTCTATCCTTCCTAGTTAATATAAAAACATTGCTTCTAAGATTTAATTGCAGAAATGTTTTCAATTAGAACTCTAGTCTATTTCAATGTGGATTTGTTTGTATATCAACAAATCACAATGTTAAAAGCACACGTATGGATTATCTCAAGTAATGTAAAAATCTTTTAAGAGGTGTATGCAGTTTTCCCATTTGGCTTCATAATTTTGTCAATCCAAATGTTTTTCTGGTCCTAAGGATTAGAATCATTTTAATTGGATTTCTTGTGCTACCTGATTTACGAGCAACAGGACAAAACTAGTAATGGCAAATTAAAATTTGCAATTAAAATTGGTTAACTTTCAATTAAGAGTGCAAATAAAATGAATATAGAAACCGATTGTCTAGATTTTACAATTTAACTATACACCTCTGCCCACTCAGTTTACCTTATATAAATTGATAGTTATCCAATAATTACATTTATTATTCAATTTTGCAGTAGAAGTACAGCCATATTTTCCCCTTCCAAACTCCTTTTGGAATGACTACAGTGGCTTTCGAGAGCTAAATCAACCTGGAGGCTATACTTGTTCCTCATATCTGGTTGGTTAGGCATGGAAATGCCAATTATTGCTTGGAGCAGCATCAAAGGCCTTTTGCTGGTTTATGTCAGATTGCTTCTCATTCATGATGGTGCTGGGTTCTAGGCAAGTAGTAGGCAATAAGCGTGGAAAATACAAATTGTGAACCATGAACATTACCTATTCAAATGAGAAAGACAATAGGCTTACATAGCAACAGCTTGTTTCACCATAATACTAAGAAAAAGGGAAAGCATTTTGATCAGACTTTCAAAATTGTCATTCATCTATAGCTTTCCTAATCTAATCATTACAATGTTCCAATCAATATCTATTTGGCCTCTAAATGTTAAACATATTGTGTTTTATTTCTTTGTTCAGTCTGGTTTTTAATAATACAATATTTATTCTTTCTTTTTATTGAGCCTGCCCTACCTGCAGTGACTTCTTAAGCCTCGTACAAGGAATTATGGATTTACAAGAGCTTCTGGCTAAAATGACAGCAAAAGTAGGTACCTGGCACTTACTCACATTTTTTTAATCCAAGTTGCCATTTCCTCCATCTGTTAAGACCACTATGTCTGTAGTTTTCCCACTTTTTGTCAATGAACTTAATCCATATTATAAGAAGAACTTGTTAAGTCAGGCGTGAGAGTCTTGAATAAAGGAGAAAAATTGTAGTTCAGGGTTGAAATGAGACAGAGATGTTATTCAGTCGGTTTGGACCAGTTCAGGTGAACTGGTAGCTCCGATGATCAACCCACCCCTTCTCTATCCCGTCCTTTATTTCATGAGCTTTCTAGCTCATCTCAATCACACAGCACAGGTGATTTTCACCCACCAACTGTTTTACTTACCACTGCTGACTTGGAACTGAGTTTCTAAAAGCTCCATTTTCAGCTCTGTGGGTGTGGCATCATCCCACCACTGAAATGAGGGATTTTTGATGCTATCTGAGCTTGGTTGTTTTCCTGAAGATGTTTCATTACCCAAACTAGGTAACATCATTAATGCTCAAAGCATTGATGATGCCATCTGGTAATGAAACATCTGCAGGACCTGATAATGTCATAAACCTGTCTGCAAATAAGTATTTCCATACTCCGGTATGTATGTTCTGTCCATATCATAGCTGTTGTATAAGAGGAGGGGAATGAAGATGGAAGCAAAGAGAAAGAATAAAAATAGGTGGAACTAATAGTTGACTCTGCCATCCGTTGTTCTGTATACTCTATACTCTATGTGTGCTTCATAATGCTTTGAATAAACTGTGGGTCTAGAGAGAACAAGGATTTTGTTTTCTATTGTAATGGATAATGTTAATTGTGTGGAATTGTGCTATATTGTAGACAAACCTGTGTCTCATTTTAGACCACGGGTGTCAAACCTAAGGCCCAGGGGACCAGATCCAGTGCGCAAGATGCTTAGATCTGGTCCATGAGGCCACCCTGGAAACAGTGAAAGGCCAGCCTGCAGTGCTTCAGCCAGTGAAAACGAAGCTTGCAAAGGCTGTGTGTGGCCCTTCTGAACTCTGTTTTCATTGGCAGGAGGCCATCACAGCCAAAAAAGGAACTTGCAAGGGCAGCCCTCTCAAGCTGTTTTGCTGGCAGAGGGTTACAGGAGGCCTTTGCAGCCAAAAATGGAACTTGGGAGTCTGTTTTGCTGGCAGAGTACTCGGGCCACCACAGGTGCCACCGACTTGAATGATGTCAAGTGGCTATACCCACTTTGGCCATTTCCCCTTGGACCAACAAGGTCAAACACAACCCTGATGTGGCCCTCAGTGAATTGAGTTTGACAACCTTGTTTTAGTCCGTAGTTGGTAGGATGAGTCTACCAGAATAATCAACATTTACATATGGTAAAGCAGAGAAATAACTGCTATGGTTATTAAAAATTGTTACAAATCCTGCTGATTTCAGTAAAAAGTATATTATATGAGACTAACCCGTTGAACATAAACATAGAATATTTCTGAATAAACATGTGTAGGCTTGTAGTGTTGTTTCCAAACTGAAAACAGTGGAATTAAAATTTAAAAGTTCTTGGCCTTTTTGTTTTAAATAAAAGCTTTGAATGAAACATATACTAGGCTGCAGACTCTTCATGAATTCCCTGACATATATCTTGTTTTAGAGTTCATTTTTGTCTCCTTTAGACAGTTTATTGATGCTCCATCTTCATTTATGTATGCCCTATTTTTAAAGCATACTTTGAACCGGGTTATTTGGAAAAAGAAAAATATTAGATATCGCCTCATGTTACTGCAAGAAAGTAAGACAATTCTGAGGCATTCTATGGATTTAATGTATGCTGAGTCAGTCCTAATTGAGTGACTTGTAATTTTAATTAAGCAAATGACATATTACATTGTTTCTATTTTTATTAATGAATACAGAATCCATGGTTTACTTTTGTTTCAACAGTCCCTATGGGATCTATCAAAGTTGGCAACATGAAAGACAGAATCACAATGCAAGTCCTGATCATTTTTGTGTGTTTCAAAGGGGCAAGACTTCCATTGGATGTTTCATCTTATAGCTGATATTGATGTTTGCCTATGTACACTATTAGGTAGTGGTTATGAGTCATCTTTTGTGTTCTCCCACCCACTTTAATTCTGAATAGGGTGGTGCACTAAGAAAAAACAAGAAAATTATGCGTCTCTGTGTGTATGTATGTATGTGTTCTGTTGTATACATTTCTTAATAGTCTTTTCATAGCCTTTAAATAGAAATTAGACTTAAAAGGCATGCTTGTTCTTTATTTTCTTTCCAAAAGAAAGAACAATTGCTCATCTCATCATAAATTTGGTCTTTTATATCATAGTATAGAATCTAATAGGGACATGGTGGCTCAGTGGCTAAGTCACTGGGTTTGTCAATCAGAAAGGTTGGTGGTTCAAATCCGTAGCACTGCATAATGGAGTGATCTCCCATTACATGTCCCAGATTCTGCCAACCTAGCACCTCGAAAGCATATAAAAATGCAAGTAGAAAATTAGAATTCACCTTTGGTAGGAAGGTAACAGCGTTCTGTGTGCTCTTGGTGGTAAGTTATGCTGGCCACATGACCACAGAAACGTCTTTGGACAGCACTGGCTCTTTG